TATTTTTTTAAAGAAATCATTTACATATGTGAATGGGAGAAAGTTGCTGCGTTTTCTTGGATACTGAATCTAAATCGGAATTTATTTTTTAGACGCACTTAGCTACACAGCTAATATATAAGTGATACAGCCAACACCTGAAATACTGAGTATTTTCCTGTAAAATATTATCTGGATAACATTGCTGCCAAATATTGTTATGGTTGTAAATATGTACAATGCTATGAATGGCTCATCATAGTTCCTGGATTTTGGGGCTTCTTGGCTCAGGATTTTATAAAATATCAATACTATATGAAATGAAAGTGATTCTCCATTTAAACTGTTAAACGCAATATTAACATATATATGTGTGTGTTTACAAGTGAGCCGAATGCCATGTGGTTTCCTACATTGTACAGGATTTGAAAGAGTGTCATTATAAATGAAAAATTGAGTCACAAACCTTTATGCTTACTTTTGGAGTCCAAATTATGACTCCTTATTCAAATTTATTCATATGTTGTATTTTTATGAACCTAGTTCACAATAAAATCCAAAGCATTTTGTAGTCAGTATGTATAGACGTAAATTGACCTTCTAGAGGTTTTTCTCTTTTTTCTCGGCTGCTATTTTCATAAGGCGGAAATGCAATGGATCAAGTCACTTTCTCTTTGAAAATATAAATGTGCAATAATTAGGAACCCAGAGAGTTCTGAGAAGCACGGGATTAGCCATGCAGCAATGCAAGCTCACATCTGCAGCCATTCTAAAAATGGCACACAGACCTAATTCTGCTTCAGTGCAAATGTAATTTGTTTTCTAGCATTTATACATGGAAATAAATTGGTGACTGTGTTTGTTTAAACCCATTTGTTACTTAATTTTTTATTATATCTTTTTTTAACTAGGCCACTGGGAAAATAATACATTCATGCAGGTTGGAGCCCTGGTGGTACAGTGGTTAAGAACTTGGCTGCTAACCGAAAGGTCAGCAGTTCAAATCCCCCAGCCGCTCCTTGGAAACCCTATGGAGCAGTTCTACTCTGTCCTATAGGGTTGCTATGAGTCAGAATTAACTTGATGGCAACAGGTTTGGATTTTTTTGGTCTTGTGCAGGTTAGTACTACTATAAATTTATGATTTACCATCACAAAGGTATTTCAGTGTTGCCTAGTGATCCTTCTCTTGTTGTTAGCTGCTGTCAAGTCAGCTCACTACCCATAGCAACCCCACGCACAACTAAAAGAAACCTTCCTGGCCCTGTGCCATCCCCATGATGGGTTGGAGATTGGACGTTTGAGATCCATATGGTTTTTATTTGCTGATTTTAGGAAAGAGATCTCCAGACCTTTCTTCCTAGTTTGACTTATTTTGGAAGCTCCACGGAAACCAGTTCAGCATCATAGTAATATGCAAGCCTCCACTGAAAAAGAAGTGGTGGCTGAACTTGAGTTGCATTGGCTGGGAATGAAACCCAAGTCTTCTGCATGGAAGACAAAAATTCTACCACTTTACCACTAATGCCCACAGTGATCCTTCTAGCTTTCCTTAATTAACGTTTTTTCTCATCTTACTCAGTGTCTGTTTCAAATCTTGTCCATTCTCCTCAACCATCCAAACTCACCATGTCCCTCAGTCACCTCCTACTTCATAGAAAAAAGAAGTTGCCATAAGAAAAACCCATCAACTTCCTGCCACCAAAGTCACAACCTTATGAATCCACACTCATCTTTCTCCTTTCTTCCTACTCTGCACTGTATTCGTTACCCCTTGTCTTCTTCCATACTGCTTTATTTTATCTCCATAGGTTTCTTCCTCATGATTTGAACAAGCTCAAGTCTTTCCCATATTAAAACAACATTCCAGCAACCTTACATCTGTATTGAAATATAGAAACATAAGATTAATCATATTTAGAATTCCAGCCCAGCTCTCTCTCTTATGCTTCATATCTGTATATACAATTGATTTCTAGATACTTTTACTAGTAAGTCACTAATACACCTCAAATTCAGTATATGCAAAAGTGATTCTCACATCCCATCCCTTGCCATCTTGTTTCTCCACCTGGGCCTCCTGGGTTTCTTTATTACTCCTTATGTCAATAATCCTCAAGACTCTGTGAATCTACTACTTAAATCTTTCTGGCCTGCACGGGTGTTGTTATATTTCTACTGTCACTGTACTAATCAGGCTATCATTATTGTTTAACCAGATTAGTGGTACTTCCTCTTCTGCAAAGGTCTCAACTCTTTGGTTGCACCCACCAATGCAGTTCTCACTCTGCAACTAAACTGATATTATTAGTATAAAATGTGCCTTTGTGAAGTCTTCAATAGGTTCTCTTTTGCCCTCTGATACAATCTGAGTTGTTTACTGACAATGTCAGTTCAGTATTGATATGATCTCTTCCTAAATCAAAAGCTTGTCTTTCATCATAACAACTTCCTCCTCTACATTTAGAACTTCTTACCTAGAAATTCTCTTACATCTTCAAAATACCCAGTATTATACTGGCTTCAAAATCTTTATACATCTATTTTTTCCTGGAAAGCTCCTCTCCTTTGGCAAATTTCCCAGTGATTCCATTTTTTTCTTGCAAATCTCAGTTTAGATCTTGTTTCCTAGACTGGATTAAATACCCATGCTTCATGTACTCATAGCCCTCTACATCACCATAGCCCCCATACTCTCTAGACTATCCTTATTGTAGCACTTAGCTACTTCATGATGTTGCTTGCTTAATAATCTGTATCTTTCATTAAATTCTTAATGCTTTACAAACCAAAAACAAAACCAAACACATTGTCATTGAGTTGATTCTGACTCACAGCGACCCTATAGTTCTCTATAGTGATAACTTCTTTCACTTGATCACTGATGAATTTCTAGTATCTAGCATACTGCCTTGCACATAGATTGGGCTTAAGTATATTTGTTTAAAATATTATTTAAACTTATTATTTAAATTCAGAAATTTATATAACCCGTTGCTGTCGAGTTGATTCCGACTCACAGCAACCCTATAGAACAGAGTAGAACTGCCTCATAGAGTTTCCAGGGAGTGCCTGGTGGATTCATACTGCCAACCTTTTGGTTAGCAGCCATAGCTCTTAGCCACTATGCCACTAGGGTTTATAATGATTAACATATTTGACATGAACAAGATCTTACAGAACATTCAATTCTATGAGTTATAATTTCATCTTTTCCACATGTAGACTAAAGTAATATATTACTTACATAAACCTATATTTTATAGATTTATAATATCCACAAATGAATTTACAGAAGTAATTTATAATTCAAATTTCATTTCTACATGAATTAAAATACCCATTAAGATATTAGTTTTACCATCAATATTTCATATGAATTAACAATCATATCATATAATGGCATAAAATAACATCTACTTTAACAATATTTCATTGATTGTAATGGCATAATAAAAAATGCTGGAATTTTGACCTGAAAATCCTGAGTTTTAATCTAAGACATGATACTTGCTGAGTGAAATTAGACAATAACAGAAATGAAAGACACTATTTATTGAATGACCAGTATATGCTTACACAATCTAATTTAACACTACCATATACTTGTCCCCAGTCTACCTATATAGTAAACCAATTCATGCCATCGAGTTGATTCCAATTCATAGTGACCACACAGGACAGAGTAAACTGCCCTATAGGGTTTCCTAGAAACAGCTGGTGGATTTGAACTGTCAACCTTTTGGTTAGCAGTTGAGGTCTTAACCACTGCTCCACCAGGACTCCTACCTAATAATAGCTGAAGGAATTAAAACTCATATTAAGTAAGGTCATATAATGAATAACATAGCTGAGATCCAAAGAGCATGTTTTTCCATAACACCCATTTACCTTTCTGTTTAGAATGAGTTTTGTTGTGAAGATTGTAGTTTGTTTGTTAACCAAATAGTAGAGTGATTTGCATAGAGAAAGACCTCAATAATTTTTTTTTTAATTGGGTGAATATATTATTTCAGAATCATTGCTTTGTTTCTTGTCCTTTGGGCATAACAGTGCCTTCCAACACAGTGAATCCCTTGACCTCTCCTTACATGCCAACAGTGGGTAATGAAAGAGAAAGCTATTACAATTTTACTTCTATTTATAATAATTTCATCACTCCATTGTACACTTCCTTTTCCCTTTTTTGCCTGCCAGTTTCTAGCCATGTTGCAGAAGAAGGTGAGTGAAGACATCCTAAGTTCAGTTGTTTGTACAACACAACTTTTTCTGAATACTTTAAACATTTGGGAGCCCCAGATTACCATTTAGAGTAACATGATTTGTCACTAAGAGACATTTAAAGGCTTACATTTGTATGAAAATGTTACATAAAAATTATATTTAAAATATTTTATTTTTGTTTTCTGTGGTTTTAAGGTAGTTTTCTAAAACTAATCAGATGAAGAATACTAATATCTAAAGAAAATTGAATTCATCTATAAAAGAAGTTATCTTGGCTATTTCTGTATGTCAGTTAGGTTGAAGTTTGGTGTGAAGATGACATACAAACAACTCTGCAGTTAGTTTCTGGCTTAATTATGCAAAAATACTGATACTTAGCAGAAGGAGGGTGACTGTATAGGGCAGGGCCAGACGTAATCTATCTTGGCCATGTTTTCCCTGACACTGATTTCCCAAGGAAGGGTCCAAGCTGTTGGTGAACTTGCCATGCAAGTTCTTGTTTGATCTAAGAAAATAGCGAAGTGTTTGCTATATCATTAAGTAATGTAGGAAAAACCTCACTAACAATCTATGTGTTTCTGTTCAAAGGTACATTTAAACCATTTAAACTCTACTGTTTCTTGAACCAAATCTACTGTCATCAAAGCCACTTGCACTTTGGGTGTAGAAAAAAAGTCATTCCAAGTCATCCGTGGACAAAATCTCTGCTTGGAAACTTCCAGTGATACTGGATGCCCACTTTTTCTGCAATTATTTACAATCCTTTCATTACAGACTATAAACTACAATTGCCCCAAAATGATTAACAATTTAATCGTGCTTCTGAGCCTGGTTGTTCTTCACAACTCTCTTATGAATGAAAAAACAGCATGTAAATGGCAATTGGTGGAAGAGTGGAATTCACAACTCACATCATATGTGGTTAATTGGACACTAACAGAAAACATTTGCATGATTTTCAACGGAGATTGTGGGTTCTTAGGTGTAAACACTAAAAGGAATACTTCAGATAATCAAGTTGTTGCCCAGATTTGCCTTTTGCAAATTCAACTAGGAGACAGTCTTGTAATTTCTTCTGAACCATCTCTTCTGTGTCCAGAAATAAATTTGATGAATGTTTCTGAAGTATCTTTTATTGATTGTCTCCAAAATACCACAAATGATGATCAGTTACTTTTTGGTTGTAAACTAAGAGGAATGGACCATGTTAATACTGAGTGGATGAGGGTTGGGACACATTATTTTATCACAATAGTGGCAAATGATCCATCACTTTGTCAGCTGGGACTTCGATTAAATGTGATGGTTAAACAGCAACTCTTCCAGGAATCTCTGAATTCAGAATTGTGCTCTGGGCAAGTTAAATGTCTTGGTCAAGTTTGGGACAAGACATACCGCTGCCATTGCCAGCCTCCATTTTCAGGAAAATACTGCCAGGAACTTGGTGCATGTTTTCACAAGCCATGCCAAAATGATGGAAGTTGCATTAATAAAACAGAAGAATGGAATAAACAAGGATATGGATGTGTCTGTCACTTACAATTTACAGGTAAGACTGTTTTAAAAAACAATGTAATTTTATTAAATTATAAAAAAAAACTGAGTTCATAAACTGTTACCAAAAAAAACAAACAAAACAAAAAAAAAACTGTGTTTTAAAAATATTGTAGATACCTTAGAATGAGTAGAATTTGGATTCTAGACGTATAAAGACTCCTATCAGGCATTTTCTAAAAGAGGTGTTTTGCTCATTAAAAGAGAGTTGTTTAGAAGCATGTACATTTTTATGCTAAAGTACCTATTTTCACATCTTTTACTTAGTTATCGAATTAGATTCCCAAACTTCTGGTATTTGAGAAAGTAGGGTGATAATAGGAGTCGTGGTGGTGCAGTGGTTAAGAGCTTGGCTGTTAATCAAAAGTTTGGCAGTTTGAATCCACCAGCCTCTCCTTGGAAACTCAGTGGGGCAGTTCTACTCTGCCCTATAGGATTGCTATGAGGTTGGAATCAACTCAATAGCAATGGTTTTGGTTTTTTTCATTTGTTTGTTTTGTTTACGGTGATAATATGGAAATAAAATGTGGATTAAATAGAGGAAGTCAAAGAATTTTTGTGATTGAGAAGAAGACAGAGGTGTTGCTTGGGATACTGGCAGAGCTAGAGAGGAAAAAAGGATTGTGAGCCCAGGGCAATGTTCTGAATGGATGTTGTTGTGGGACCTATAAAGCAATTGATAGATAATAATGGCAAGGATGGAAAAAGAATGATGAAATTATTTATGGTTGTAATAAGCTAAATGAGAGGTAATAATAGGAAAAGCTTGCAAAAAGAAGATGCTTAGCGAATAGGCAAAGCCAGAAGATGGGCAATCTGAAAACAATTATACTGCCAGAAGTTGAAGTGAGTGTTTAACAGAACTATCTCTACTTCAGATTTTACTAGTAAATTTATGTCAACAAAGAAATGTGATGAGAAATATTAAGAAATGCAAGGCACACACAAAATTCGGGGGCTTAGAAAAATTTTATTATTCTTTTTTTAATGGACGTTCCAGAGTCCTGGCAAAAAGGGATACCAAGGAGATACGTAAAACAAGTATGATCTAACAAAAGGAAATATTTGACTTAGTTGATAATGATAATACAACAAAACAAATAACAGATTGCTAGTGTATTTTGGTCATGAGAGAAGAAGGAAAAAGGAGGAAGAGCAGTAGATATGACTAGAGTAGGTCAGTCTTAGGAAACTAAACGTAAATTTGTTGGGCTGCTTTAGGAAACAGATTACTAAAAGTAATTTGCTCTCATCATATCTTCATATCTACAGCTAGCCCTTCTTCTTCCCTCATAACAAAAATACACTTTGGGCAGACTTCTGGGCCTTAGAAATCCCCTGGTGGTGTAAATGGTTAACGTGCTTAGCTAACAGAAAGTTTGAAGTTTCGGTCCATCCAGAGGCTCCTTGCAAGAAAGCCCTGGTAATAGACTTCCGAAAAATCAGCCGTTAAAAACCCTATGGAACATAGGGTCATCATGAGTCAAAATCAACTTGACAGCAATTTATTTTTTTTCTTGGTGGGGGTGGCGGGGCGCTTTAGCAAGTTCCCTCTCCCATGTGCCTCGGACAGATTCCATTAGATAAATTTTAATATGAGTTCTCAATCAGCCATTATAAGCTCTAAAATTAACCTAAGTCAATCGTTTTTTTTGGTGTTGTTTTTTTCTTTTCCTTTTTTTTTTTTTATTGTACTTCAGGTGAAGTCTTACAGAACGAATAGTTTCTTATGAAACAGAAGTACACATGTTGTTTTAAGACATTGGTTAACAATCCCACAACAGATCAACCCTCTAACTTCTCAAACTCTTTTTTTTTTTTGGTGAAAATACACATAGCCAAAGATACACCATTTCAAAAATTTCTACATACACAGTTCAGTGACATTGACTACGCTCTTCGAATTGT